TAATGAAACTCATAAATGTACGCATTTGTTCATTTTAGTAGTAATAAAAGGATTATTAGAGCGTAGCGACCACCTTTATTAGGAAGATCCAGTTATTGGCCTATGGAGAGTTTTCAGCAGGCTTAATAGGTTAATTAATTATGAAACGGAGGAATGGAAATGGTACGCTTTGATAAATGTTTTTAAGATAAATAAAGTATAGAAAATACCAGTATTAAAAATTTGAGATTTTTCTCGATTTCCCTAGGATCCCATCATCAGATCCTGACTTGGTGACAATGGGACTACCTCAGAGGTTTACCCCATCGAACAAAAAAAAAATGCAAAATCGGTCCAGAACTGACGGAGTAATCGGTGAACATATACAAAAAAAATACATACAATCGAACAAAGAACCTCCTTCTTTTTTGAAGTCGGTTAAAAAGAAGCAACTTTTAAATATAAAAATGCAAACAGCCAAGGACTGGAATTCGCTGCCAGTTGTCTCTCGTCTCTCCCCGAGGTCTCTTCAACCGGGCCTCAAGGCAAGAATGCATAGGTACTTACTGGGCAGGTATATACTACCGTAGACTGCTTCTCACTTAACTTTAGGTTAGGTGTGATTGCCTGCAATGCCTGCCTGCCTTGCTGTTCTTAAAAAGTGAAGTCCCAAGATAGAAAATCTATCAACGCACAGCCCAACAAACCACTCGACGGATCGGGATGAAATTTGGAATCTTATGACGTAGGCATCCGGTAAGAAAGGATTTTACGAAACTCCACCCGTAAGGGGGTAAAACGGGATCCACGCGTACGAAGTCGTGGGCGGCCGCTAGTAAAATAATATGACAATAGAAAAAGATCATGATTTTGCCAAAGGAGCCGAGATTTCAGTTCGCTCACTCCATAATTCTCCGCGTTTCACCCGAGCCTTTTCCATACAAATTGATATTCGCAGATAAATTATTTTCGTAGGAAAATTATTACCGGAAAGATTAATGGTTGCTGGCACAATGCATCGCACAATCGGTCTACCGGGAAACGCTAAGTTATCGACCAATTATTCGTAGTATTTGTGTGGGTCGAAGAATTGGTAATTCTACTCAAAGTAGCATTAGTAACGCTTTAGAGGATTGCATTTTTTAAATACAGGGTGGAATTTTGTGATGCCTCCTGGAGGGAAAGTACTCTTAATACTGTAGATAGAAAATACTCAAAGAAAATGTTTCTTTATTTTTGAAAAGAGAACTGCATTCCCTGTATATATTTTTTTAATCATAAGTTGTAAAATATGAGATATGAAGGAGAATAGGGTAATGAGAGAGATAAACAATAGTTTAGATAAATAATATTAAAACCTCGGACGGACAGACGGACATGACGAAACTATAAGGGTCAGGACTACGGAACCCTAAAAAGCAATTCCAGTACAGATTTCCATCATTTTTCAGGATATTAATAAAGAATATAAGATTTTAACTAAAATATAGAAACACGGGTCTCAACGCGACATTTTTATATAAGTTACATAATGTTACAAATGATATAAAAATGTTTCTCTATTTTAAAAGAAAATGTCTTTAAAACTTACGATTTGACTCGCAGTTGTATATTACTTGTTATGTTACTGTGTAGGTACTTTACTTATAAGCAGTGATTATATTATTATTACTTACTAGCTGACCCGGCGAACTTTGTTCCGCCTTAATGGCAATAAATAAGCAGACTTTTTTTTAATTTCGAACGGGATAAAAAGTATCCTATGTCCTTCTCCTGGCTCTAAACTACCTCCCTGACAATTTTCAGCTAAATCGGTTCAGCCGTTCTTGAGTTATAAGTGGAGTAACTAACACGACTTTCTTTTATATACAGTGTGTCCGGGCNACTATCGCTGTTAGCGACGTCAAAGAGAGTCAGAATTAATGTTAGCAACTGTTAGCGACGTCAAAGAGAGTCAGAATTAATGTTAGCAACATCATGTCAATTAGTTCAAATTAACTAATTAATCTGTTTCGTAATTAAGAAAATGAACTTGAAATTTTCGCCAAAAAGGCAATACCGTAGCGAAAACCATCAGGCTCTCTCGCTTACTCACTCGGTAGGCCTCTTTCTTGCATTGTCTGATCTCTCACTTCCACAAAATAGCTTCTCTTTCACACTTTTCTGGAAAATCTAGAATGTTCAGGAAAAAATAGAGAAGAAACGAGACAGAAATATCGGACCTCTCGCTTCGAACATTCTAGAGCGTGAGATAGCAATATGTTTTGTCCTTGTCTTGCACGGATNGAAGGGGTATCTTTGTTCAACAATTACGTCGAAACTAATTGACGTAGACTAATAAATTTACATTCGTTTTGTAGAATAGCTCAAATACTAATAATACAATGCAAATAAAACATACCTTAACGACCTGGTTTTTCTTGTGTTGGAAAATAACTGAAAAAGAAGTGAAAAAAGTCATGTTTTTTTCTAATTAAATCCATTCTTACTCCCTTAAAATGTATGAAACTTGTATCTGTTTTCTACTTTTGCTAATAGATAATTTTATTGGCTATCGCGTGATATAAAATATTTGCTTATTAATGTTAAGCTACCCACGCTTTCACTTGTTTTTGAAGGAAAAGGTGAAAACTAAAAATTAAAAACTTAAATCCTTGTAATTTTGCGATAAATGGGTCAAGCCCCAAATTTGAAGTATTTTTATCGATAAAATTGTCCCTAGATTTGGCCCATAAAGTTTGATCACTACATGACCGGACACACTGTATATAGATTGTGTTCTAAGTAGTTAAGTTCAGAATTCCGTTGACATCTTGAGACAGGTGACTGTTGTTATTAGTTAATTATTTTGAGAAACTTTGGAAACTAGTGCCAAGTTTCGTGAAATTAACAACTTATATTAAATTTAAGTTGTGTACAGACGTAATACAGTTTAAATTTAGTTCAAATTCCATTAAGAACTCTAGGAATTAAAGCCTAGTGCTCATTAATAACACAACCTCCTTCCGGAATAGAACCTACTGTTTCAACAAGTATCTACAAGTACTAAAGTTTTCGTTTAATATATGTATACCAAAGTTTCATAATGAAATTAAAAATAGTACCTTGAATAGTCCCTTTAGTTTATGAAGTATTTACTTAATAATTCATCATAATTCATTACCCTTTGTATTAGTCTACATTTTTCACTATCCCAATTTAAAAGCTTTTAGTTTAACCCTAAAATATACATCAACATTTTCAGTGCTTTTAGGATATTTGGTAAATCCTGAAACAATTTTACTCTACACCTGTTAAAACCCATTTCATGTTGATAAAATAAAAATAACATTTAAGTACTCTTTGCCATTTATCGATGAAATAAAACGGTATTGATAAATTCCCGACGGAACCCTTAAAACGGTTGGGTATTGAAATACACTGGTCATCACAAAAATCGTCCCTCCCGCGACAAACACTTTCAAACGTATGCATCCCCACTTCCCACCAATATTGGCACCATTTAAAAGCCTAGCTCTAAACTTCATTTCATTAAAGGAAAGGTTTTTACCCCAAAAATGTGTCTGTAGAAGAATCCAGAGTCACTTCTTCAAAAAATAGGTAGTTACGCTTGAGCCAACTTTTATGGCTATAAAACTGTTAAGTTGGGATTAATCGCTATCCATCTATTAAAGAGGACACGTGAGATCATTGCTTATTTGGTTTTATAACCATAAAAATTGGTCTAATTGATCCCAGAGGTGAGCCCAAAGTGAGGTATTTTTTCAAGTAAATAACAATAAATGTATTGTATATGTTAATAGTTTATTAAGAAATTAAATGTGTTTTTCTTTAAGGATATTTATTGGGCTTTCATAAAACACCAATATTGTTGGGGCATCATGATTGTGTCAGTAGAAACGAGTTTTCCTGTAAAACGTAGGGGAACGATTTTTGTGATGACCAGTATATTTGTGCTTCATTTTCTTTTAATTTTCTTTTTACCTGGTCATTTAGAAAGTCTTCATCATCACACATACAATCTTGGTACAAAATTTTACTTGTTCTATCTACATAAGTTTCCACAGTGTTGTATTATTGTTGTTGTCCTACCCTGTCGTACCGTAAAGAAAATACTAACTTAATCTTGATATTCCATTCACAAAAATGTACATTATAAGTTTTGATGACATCAGACATGTAATAAAACTTACAATAACTTACCAGACCGAAATAATCATCAAATAAAAACATGGCCAAACTAAAATATTATGTTCGTAATAAAACAAAAGAGTTTTACATTTCTGCGAAGGTAACAACTTAATGACTCTAATTACAAAGTTTAATTAGGTAGGCTTGTTAATAATTAACATTGCGGCATCGTTTATTTCAATTAGGAAATACTACGAAATCTTAGCCTCATTCTTACGCAAACAATAAAAAATATTTCAAACGTACGAAAGAAACCTTTGAGCTTTGGTTGTTTACTTGTTATTTTTTTTTAGGATTTCTCAAGGACATATACTAAAATAGTACCATTGAATTTGATTATTTTCAAGATACATACCTACTTACTGTATTACCTAGTTCTGCAAGGCAAGGTTAATGTAAAAATATATCACAGTCTAGAAACACTTGTGTGCAAATTAGGACCACCCCTACTCTTCCGGAGGATATCAGAAGAGTCGACTAAGAGAGGGAGAAATATGTGAACATCGGGCCTTCTCAACCCTTCTAGCCAGGGTAGGGAGAAGTAGGCCAAATTCTACATTTTTCTCTAGGAAATTGGGAATAGTCGTGTTCCTACAATAAAAACTAAATAGCGCGATGAAATAGATTTGAGGCAACAATAAATAGCCCGACAGCCCAAAGGTATCGTTGCCGTACTACAGATTCTGGACTTGCCGAGGGTTGGTAGTTGGATCGAACTCCGTCACCGCTGGACTATAAATTGTGGTGATCACATCCGTAACACAAGCAGTTTAGCTTAGTTCGAGACGTTAATGAGACTTAATAAAAGCGTTTAAAGAATAAAGACTTACCAGTAGCATGCAGCTTCCTCAATGGGTCTACGATGGCGAAGTATCTGTCAGCAGATAGTGCTGTCAGCGTGAACACCGACACTCCGATGCTGACGTCTTTGGCTGCTTCAGAGACACGGCAGACGGTGTCACCCCATGGCCAGGATTCCACGGTGTAGACGATGGAAGTGAAGGGCACGCACGTGATGATGACCAGGAGATCTGCTAGAGCCAGGGAGAGGATGTATCTGAGGACAAGGAATTTGTTATTAGTGACAAATTTATCTTGATGGCATATACTTAGCCTATGTCCAGCAGTAGACATTTATAAGGAGCAGCTTAGAAGCTTACCGATTCAGCAGAATTGATCATGTAATTGAATGAGAATTGGATAAAATACACAATGGTGAACAGACGACCTCATAAAGGTAGCAGAAAGGCACTGGATATAGGCCAATAATAATATACCAACCGGCCAATCTAGAAATCATTGAGGGAGGCCTATGTTTGTTCAGCAATGGACGCCCTATGACTGAAATGATGATGATGATCTATGTTTAGCAGTATAGGCATCTAGAAGCTAATAAAGCTACTGAATTGGCCATGTACTTAACTAATTGAGAAACAGTAAGCTTTGTTGAAATTAAACAAAATAATAACAATTATTTCCAAAAAGATCTTACTGTGTAGAAAGTTTAAATGAAATTCTGAAGCATTGTTATTCTCCCATTAATCTTGTGCCAAAATTTGCCTTGCATTATCCCAAATTTCCCGCTTCGCATGCAGTATTAAGCCAAGTGGAAGACGACATTGTTTCTCGCAAAACAGTTCAGTTTGCCAAGTTTTGCTGCACTCCACTGCACACGTTTGGCGAACAAGAAATGCATTGGGACTTCTGGTGAAAGTAATACTATGAAAAATTATTTCGAAGAGAATAACCCAATCTGTCTTTTTTCCCCAAAGTTAAAAAAAAGACAAAGGAAAGGAGATCTATTGATATAGAAAATAACGCCATACATAACGCCCAAAATACTCATTGATATCAATAATACTTATAAATAAAATTACATTCTTGTAAAACGGTAATCTTTCGTAAATAAATTCATTGGTTTTACTCGTATATTAGATATTTTTCAGCTCTCACAAAAAAAATATATTATTGTAATTGAATAAACTTAATGGAATAATCCAAATTAAACTTTTGGAACCTTTTAATAAAACTTCTAGGCTTACCTATGTAATACTTATTTTATATGCTAACTGTGTTACAATATAAGCTGTATCATGTATCATGTATGTGTATGTATTACCTGTGGTTTTACTAATAATGAAAATAAAAAAATGTGTTTACGTTTCATTCTATAAAGTTACCTTCACGAATAACTTACGTATTAAGATCAATGATGATTAAGTAAACAATAAACTATGCCTACTTTATTAGAAAAGCAATAAACAAAAAGTGGAGGATGAAGATTAATGGGGGCTGAGAGAATTTAACGCCACTTACAAATGGTTATTTACACTAAAGTCAATTTAGGACTAATACGACAAACGCATAAACTCCATTGGTATTAAAGGACACGTTAATAAACTAACGTAATTATTTGACAAATAATGCCAAATGATATTAAATATTGGTAATTATGTCAATATCACGACAGACTTTTATCGCGACATTTTATCGATTTTTCACGATAAGCCCATACATTTGTCGTCTAAAATCAACGATAAGATTTTATCACGGCATCCAACCTAGCCCAGCAGCTGGCCTAAGTAACTTTCAATGGTTGGGTTTTGCGGTCAAACCGCAGATCTTGCACAGGAGTTGTACCACTGAAAATAAGAGGTGGGAATAGTCCCATAAACCACTAGCCGTACCCTTTAACTTTCCCATGGGACAAACCTCACCTTCTAGTTGGGTTTTTATTGGCGGTCAAGCTGTAGATCCTGGCTACACAAGAGTTGCAGCGGTGAAAATGAGAGGTGGGAATAGTACTGTAAATAACCTTTGTGATGTTCAGAAACCTTTTTCTTCTTTCTTCAAAATCATATTACAATACATTTTTATTTCTATTGTTAAAAGCTATCGTTTTTATTTTACATAAGGCACTATCAGAACTATTAGTCCCTTATAAGGGACAAGCCGGTTTATCGCTCAACCTACTATCAGTCTTACCTACTTCTACTATAAAGCTAATGCCTTTGTGATGTACCTGACTCAAGTTTCCGACTTTAGTGACACAGCCTGAATATATCAGCCATCTCTCTGTTATTTTTAAATTCAAAAGTTTTATGAGCACTACGTCATTTACACGTCCTAGCCCTACCAATGCTTCGGAACAGTAATATGGGCCAGTGCTGAAAAGAAGCAGCGCAAGAAACTCAGTCACTATTGTCAATATTTTGCTAACTTTACCTACTAATAATTCTAATAATTTTGATGCAGTTTACTAAAATTCAGCACAAGTCCTCGAATTTCAATAAAAGGAGGAGTAGTTTCTCAGTTCTTCTGTATGTTTTTTATGCAGTACCGTTTAACCAAAGTCGTTATAAGCATCTGTCACTTTGTTTAGTTAGTTCTCAAATCTGTTAAATTTGTTTAATACGGATTTGCCGATATTCAAACATTTGTTTCTTCTTAAAAGTAGAGGAAACGTTCGAGAACCTCTAGCTATTTCATTGAAAACATTAAATAATTCTTTCTCTATTTATAATTAATGTATTATGTATATTGTTAACTCGATTTGTATGTTGTGTGCGATTGTTATTGGAGCTGCAAGAAGTTATACTGTATGGTTATACTCGTACACTTATGCTTTAAACGCATTATTTGTAAATTATGGATGTATCCCTGTTTTGTGCACCAAATAAAAAAAATAAAAAAAACACTTGACATAAACTTGTACTAATTCATTTATGTCACAAGAATTGGCTGATTTACATCTAGCTATGGTTAGTCCAAAGCCTTTAGCTTTAGCAAAATCCTATAATAATAAACTTAAACAGGACAAACCCGTATCAAACGTGACATCGGGCTGTAATCTTTTTGTACAAACGAACTGTTTGTGATCCCACAGACCGCATGGTCACAGATGATTTTGTTTAGGATGCCTACCCCTTCAACCACATTATACGTATGCCTTAAAGCGACAGCTACCGTAAATACCCTCTCGCATGAAGCGGTATGAAATATTTTAACCCATATTTTTTGTTTATTACGAATATTTCAGTAGTTTTGATTGAATTACTTGTATGTTTTGTTAAGTAATTGGAGGATTCTATGATATTTTTCCACCGATAAAAAAGGGTTCGTCCGTTCGTTTCAGCCGAAAGACGTCCACTGCTGGATAAAGACCTCCCCCAAGGATCTCCACAAAAACCGGTCCTGCGCCGCTCGCATCCAGGCACCTCCCGCGACCCTCACCAGATCGTCGGTCCACCTAGTGGGAGGCCTGCCCACGCTACGTCTTCCGGCTCGTGGGTTATTAGTTGTAGTTCACCGACGCGTTCTATTGTGATGCGCTAATAACTATATTAAATCCAATGTACCTACCTATAGTTAGTTGGCTTAGGTACGAGAATTATCTACACAATCGCTTTATAGGGACATTACTGTTAGAACGTAATGACTTTTGGCCAAGGCTGCCTATCGTGATTTGCATTTGGGTTTGAGTGGCAACTCTATAATACAATCCCGGTCTAACTCTATCGGTCTCTCTTACACTCCTCAGAATCTTACAAGAGAGACAGAGACAGTTAGTGCCAATAAACAGATATTTCGTTGCGGAGTAACCAACTGAATTCGGAAGTGCATCCAAGGTAGTCTTTGTACTCAAAGGCTTTGCGAACGGAGCGGTAAATTATGTGGTTAGCTCTGTGCCCATGATTTCAGCAATAACTAGCTCTTTGAGTAATAACTAGCTCTTGACTACATTGCCCGAAAATCATTTTCCAGAGATGGGATTCAGTGTGCTTACCATGAGTTCACGTTGGGTGTGCTTGCTAGCGAGTGCGTCAAATCTATGAAGATGTTAGTTCTTGAAAGTAGCTGTTAAGGGCGCTGTAAAATCTGCCATAGATTTACGCTCGTGTCCTCAGTGTCATAACCGGACACTGCATGCTAAACAAGCACCTATACAACATAGGTGTTACAGACAGCCCACTGTGCAGGGGGTGCATGGAGGCAGAGGAAACACCGCAGCATGTGCTCATGGAGTGCAGTAGCGTGGAAGAACAACGGGCTCAATTTCTTCGATCACCATCGTCGCTACAGGAGGCCTGTAGCAGCCTAGACGGGCTGCTCACCTTCTGGGGGAATCTGGGGTGGTTGCAGTAGGAAGATAAACCACAAATCGCACACAATGGCCCAATCATGAGGCTAAGCGCGGTATTCGATTGCCCCGCAAAACTAACTAACTACGCTCGTATTCACAAACGATGCTTGCTTAAGTGAAGCAGTAAATCAAACGCACAGCGTTGAATAGAGCTATGTGATTGGTTCGTATGTCACCCTGTGCGTCCGCGCGTACTGTGAGACCTCATAGTAATGTTTGTGAAAACGGGCGTTAGTCGTATTATGCCAAAAATACAAATAATAGTTTCAACCCCAATAATTAAAATCTATAGGTACAGTGGAGTTCATAAATATTGGTAGTGCCAATGTTTCAAAATATTGTTAGTTTCAACGTATATTTTCAATACAAACTCCAAACATTAAAATGTAATTAACTGTTCGTTAACATGTTGCGGTAGCACAGTATTGAGTGCGCTTCAATATTTTGACACATTATAAATAAATAAATATCTTTGGACAATCTCACACAGCGCCATCTAGCCCTAAAGTAAGCAATTGATATGCTTGTGTTATGGGTGCTAGCTTAACGGATGTACTACTCATATACTTTTATTTTTAAATACATAGGTACATATTATATACATAGTAACACCCAGACCCGTCACAGAAATTAAAATTAATCATTTCAATTTCTGCCCGGCCGGGAATCGAACCTGGGACCTCTCGGCATTGTAGTCCGTTCTGAACCAATACACCAAACGGCCGACAAATTGGACAAACATTGGACACTGCCAATATACATATTTATGAACTCAACTGTACCTAGAGAGCCATTAATTGCTCCAACTTTAATATAACTTACATAATACAAACAAAAGCTTGTATTTAAAGTTGCTACTATTGTACCCAAATATACTCAAAAAGTAATTTATTTCAATATCACACGCACGCCCA